TTTCCTCCTTAAGATGAATAGTTTGTAAGTGTCTTTGGATATAAGTGTCTGCAAAATGAATAAATGTAAAATGTAAATGTAAACAGGAGGTGTGCTAAATTCAAGCCCCGCCCCTCTGTTTTTTAATCATTCGATTTTTTACTTGTTTTACTCAAAAAAATCAGTTGCAACTTCTAGTTCCAGTTCGCTGCTGGAACCATAACAAATTCTGACAAACCGAGTTGTCTTTTGCACTATTTACCTCAATATTCATTCATGACAGGGCTGTCCAAACATCCTGTAGTTTAGCTCCAACCAGTTCCAACACACTTGCATGGAAGTTTCTATTGAGTCTGAAGAAATTGATTAGTAGATTAAGGTGTGTTTAATTAGAATTGGAGCTAAACTCTGCAGGACCAGTTCTTATTCATGAACAGAACCCTTGCTCCCCTTAGAAACACTTAAAAGTTAGGAACAATTATCTGACTCGTCATTCAAGCAGGGGCGTAACCATCATAGACACTGAATAGGACAAGTTCCCTCCCCCCAATAATTAGAAATGACCAAATTGTAGCCCCCAGTATTTGGAATTCTTGCACTGCTCTGATGCACTCTGTTTGCCGTTAGGATGACAAAAAGTTTTAAAAGTCTGGGGTTAAATCTATAAGGGATACAGCTGTGGCTACTGGGCATACGCACATCAATATAGCATATTTTTTGTCACACTGTACAACAATAATTACTATTTTTGCATTATTGTAAGGGATAGATTTAGGGTTGGGGTAGGTGTAGACATAAATAAAACAATCTAATAGGTAGAAAATTAAATTTCATTGTTAGTTTCCGGTTGGAGCTGTATCCCTGCTAGCCACAACCAAAGTCTGGTCAGATTCAGAATAACAGTGCTCGTCAGTGTCAGTGTGATTGAGATGGCCAATCAAATCAAAGTAAGCGGGGTTTACTCTTCAGAGAACCAGAGCGCGACACTTTAGTTTTAACACTGAAGGAGAGTAATAAGAAGCAAATGGCGAAACATTTAATGCTGGACAACAGTTTAATTATAGAAAAGTTAAATAACCACCATTAATATCCAGAGAAACTACTCAGTATTTCTCAAACATGGCCATTTTGAATTTAAAATATGGTATTATTTACGTGATTCATTAAATTCCTGAATGTGAGGAGACACTTTTCTTTGTCATGATAGCCATACAAATAAGAGTGAATGTGTGGATATTTTAAAATATTATTTGCAAACAGTTCATAATGATTACTTCCCAACTAGAATTAGACCATTCAAAAAAAAATTTCAAAAAAAAAAAAAAAAACCTTATTGAAAATATTTATTTAACCATAAAAAATAGATAGATTAAAACCATAAAAAGTACTTTTTTGACGAATCACAAAAGGAGATTTTTTGAGGAAACTTTATGAGGAAAGGAGCTGCATGAAGACTTGTCGATATTCTCCTTTTGTATTTAATGACAGCATATAATATATAGTATATATAATGACAGCATTTACATTACAGTGTGAACTATTCCGTTCAAGTAAACATTTACATGGGTAATCTATTTGGTAACTTAAAGATTTGTTTTCGCCAGAGAAAGGACGAGATACAGGATCGCATGACCGTCCGTGGCTTTGTGCCTTGCCGCGTTTTAATGAGGAAAGGATTGAGTGAGCAAGACCTCCATCTCCATGGAGACCAGAGAGATCTACAGCCTTGCCCTTTCTCTCAGCAACCCTCAAGGCTACACTTTCTACCTCCAAATGAATCCACGGTCGAGAAAGTCGTACATACTGACCAGTCTGTATAATGCATAAAAGCTGAACAACCACCACAGAAACGTCCTTTCTGTAGAGACCTTACATTTGAAGTGAGTCAAAGTCATGTTAAATGTAAAGTTTGATGTGATTTTTTTTTTTGCACCTAAAGTATGACCGTGCTACAGCTGCTTTGATATTAACATGCACGCCTGCACACATGCACTAAACCTGATTCATTTCAGCTAATTCAGAGCTATTGCAACCTTTGGCCCTAAAGGGCAAAAAATGAATGACAAACTGAAACACACATGGGATGAGCAGTTTGCTCAGAACATATGTGAGTCTGCTGAATATGCATCAGTTCCTTTTCCGACACATGCCCCTCTTTCTCGTCGGTGGCTTTTGTCTTCGTTGGTGGAAGGCGGGGTACGTTGCCATGGTGACTGCTGCAACAGAAGGCTGAAGGGTTTGACTTCCTCATGACCTTCACAGAAGGGGGTGATTGTCCTGAAATAGAGCCAGCGCTCTCCTTCATGTCGAAAGTGTTTAATCAGGAGGAAAAAATGATCAAACTGTCCAGAGCTCTTCAGGATTGCACGCACAACTGCAATCACAGTCGGTCTGAAGCACCTTTCATTAGCATTACAAAGCCATTATGATAATATTATCAAAGGTAGCAATGGGTTGCCCGCTAACTAAGAAAGCTGCGTGCACGTGATATTGACTTGCTCGTGCTGGCGTCACATGTAAGATGAGGATCAAAGAAACATATTTGCCGTGGGTTAAGCCTCTAATAGAGCTGTACATGCATTTTTTTTTTTTATCCGGTTCATCAGTATGTAAACAAAGTAATTTTGCTTCCTGGTGTGACACTAAGAAAGAGTCATCAGAGCAGCAAATGTGGGTTTTCTAATGCAAGTATCAGTATTATAATAACGATAGATAGACAGACAGATAGATCAAAACTGCATAATTAGTGATATGGTTAATTTCTTCAGTATGCATCACTGCTCCTCAGTGAGAAGAGGTGGAAGAGGTGTTTGGTGAAATGAAGGTCATACTATAGAAAAAACATGATTCATCTCATGAGTCACAAGATGAGTTCACTATTCACCCACAGAAACGTCAAGGCTCTGAACAAAGCCTTGAGGATGCCATGCATGAGAAAACGTGCACACCACCGCTCAAAGACGTAGCCTACCTGAGAAACCAAATAGGAAATCTGTCCTTTATAAGAGTCTCTTTGTGCACCGCTACTACATCTCTCCTCCCACTCCAGGCTTTTTTTTTTTTTGAGTGCTTACAAAAAAAATATCTCTAAGAAAGAAGGCAGCTCAGAAACTGAATAAGTATTGGAGAGAAGATTCTCTTCTCTAATGACCTTGCTCCACACATTTTTAATCAATCTATTTATCGATCTCTAAGATAACAGACTGCCTATCTTGTGTCTAAATCTACTCAAAGTAATATTGGAATAGTAATATTACATGTTCTTGACTCACTATGTAACCTGACTAATACAAATATATGAATAGAAGAAAACTGGACTGCAAAATACAAAATGTTTTTACATCGAACACAAAAATTGGACTCTCGCTAAATTAAACCTCAATGAACGAGAAAGTAGCAGATTACAGCTACAATGTAGCATACTATGCTTGTCATTGCATTATAAACTTCCCATATGTTTTTTGAAACAGACAGTGCAATATGCATTTCACTAATATTCCAGTCCAAACATTGGCTAAAGTCCTTTTGTGCAGGGAAGTGACTAATCATACAGCAGATGTTCAGAGTTTGACCAGTCTTGAAAGACGTGAAGCCTCACAAAAGGCTTTTGCTCCATCAATTGGACCAAAGGTATTTCAGACACAAATATTTAAACCTCCAGTCTTTGTTACCCATGTACAAAGCTTTACCATTCTAATGGCCTACAGTGTGGCCAAAATGATTGGAACACTAGTATTTTCAGCAGCTGTCAGTTATTTCTATCTTTTGCTGTAGTGTGTCAGTAGGAACTATCAGTTTACATTTCCAAACATTCATTTTGCAATTAATTGTAATAATCCAGTCAGATTTTTGTCTGACAACAGCCAGTGCTCAATACAGAGATCTGATCTCACCATCATCCAGTCTGTCTGGAATGACATGTATGTATGTATGCATGTATGTATGTACCAGGAGCACCTTAAAAAAAACACAACAAATTCCTTGTGTGTTTGCGCACATCTGGCGAATAAAGCTAATTCTGATTCTGAAACAGAACAAACTGAGACAGACTAAATCCAGAAGAACTGTGGCAACGTCTCCAAGATGCTTCAAGAAACCTACCTGCAAAGCTACCTGAAAAACTATGCACAAGTGTACTTAGGGCAAAAGCTGCTTTAAACACAAAGGATGGTCACACCAAATGTTGACTTAATTTAGTTAATAGAAGTTAATTAATCAAGACTATTTATGACATTATTTTTGACAACATCCTCATTTCACAGCATTTTCACACAGTGCCTAAAACTTTTAACAGTACTGTAGCTTTGCAGGTAGATCTTTTGAAGCATCTTGGAGACGTTGCCAAAGTTCTTCTGGATTTAGTGCGTCTCAGTTAGAACGGTTTCTTCATGTAATCTCAGACAGACTGGATGATGATGAGATCAGATCTCTGTGTGGAGCACTGGCTGTTGTCAGACTCCTTGTGCAAACAAAAATCTCACTGGATTATTACAATTAATGGCAAAATGAATGTTTGGACATGTAAACTGATATTTCCTACTGATACACTACAGCAAAAGATAACTGATTTAAAACCATTTTTAGCTGGTGAAAATACTAGTGTTCCAATCATTTTGGCCACCACTGTATCTTTCACTGTTCAGAGAGACATTCATCAAGAATGCCTGAGTTCTCATGAGTTTGTCATCCTTAAATTGTTATCTAGGGTAAAGTCTCACTGTCTGTTCACAGTTCAGCTACAGGACTCGTTGTGAATGATTTCATGTGGTTAAAGGAAGACGCTTACGAATCAATTCTATCTCCACAGCACCAGACAAGTAGTGTGAGATTACAAGTCAGGGCGAAAGAGGGCACAGCAGGAAGTAACTTGAGGCCACTGTAACCAATCCAACCAAAAAACACCTGAAAAAGACTGAGTAAATGGCTTGCTGACACATTTACACATCCATATCAGAAACAGAGTCGTTGATAAAACCAAAAAGACGGGTGGTTGTCATTACACAAAATAATCATTTATTCAACGAAAAATCTAAAAAATTATGCTGCGAAAATTACAATGCATGAGAAAAAAAAGCTTTGGACTGTTTCAAGGATGCCCCAAAATGTCCCTCAGTATTTAAACTGTAATCTTATGAATTACAAAGGCAAATACAAAAATGAAAAAGCTGTAAAAATTTGCATATTTCACTGATGAATTCAACCTTTAAAAACATGTTATATTAATATCAACATATGTACATCTTGGGTTTGAAGTGTTGTGGCACTGGTAACTCATGAAGGAGGGTCATCTCCATGAATGGCCTTATATTTAGTCATTTCTTCAGGAAAAACCTTCCCCAGCTCAGAAATGAGGAGGCTTTTAAATTTCTGGAGAAAAAAAGAAACCGCAAAATACCAGAAAATCATCCATCCAACAAATGCAGCCATGGTTTTATGTTTACGCGGCGCGATGCAACGCGTAAAAAGACAGTATAGGTCATTATAATCCGTAATTATGTCCCCCACTGTATGCAACAAATGCCTCGTTTATAATGTGTTTTTATTGGTTTTGTCTCGTCGCTCCGGGACACAGCATCATATGTTAAGGGGCGTAACATTTCCGTCACACGCTTGAGGTATTCGGCCAATCACAACGCACTGGATAGCTGGCCAATCACAGCACACCTCGCTTTTCAGACCGATGAGCTTTTTAAAATTGAAGCGTTTCAGAAAGGCGGGGCATAGAGGAGAAATAATAATGTACAGTATGTGGAAAATAATGTGTTTTTTGAACCTTAAACCGCATAAACACATTTCATTACACCAAATACACAAAATAATGTTCTTTTTAGCAGCATCATATGACCCTTTTAATATACACACGCATACTGTACTATAGATTTCCAAGGAAATAGACTACTTTTAATTCATAAGCTCATCAATAATGACATACTGGTAAAATAAGTCAGTGCTGCAGCTTTATTCTGAATCAAAGTAAAGAAGGCCTGTTCAGATCAAGAATGATGACTTTAATAATAACTATATAAATAGAAAGGGTAGAATCTGTGCAAATAAATATATTATGTCTTTTTGTAGCAAATAGCCTGCTAGCACTTCCAAATTAGTCAGTCATTCATAGTGATGGTAGAACTGAATGCTGAATGCAAACGCTGGACCAATACTCACAGTCAGTGTGTCAATCTTTCCTTTGACCTGCTCATTTTTAGCCAAAGCTCTTTCTAAACACTCCTTTGTGTACAGTTGAGGGTTACGACCCTGATCAATATACCTGTGCAAAACATCAATAATGGCAATTCATATCTTTACACAGATGTGACATCTCACATTTCTTGAATATAACAACTAAATGGGTACTTACAATCTAAACAGAGTATAAATGAGAGTAAAAGAAGGGAAATTTGATAAAGAACATGCAAATGTTCTTTAAACATTTGTTATCTGACTACCGTGAGTGGACAAAACCCATTTCCATTCATTTTTCAAGAGGCTTGTGTGGCTAGAAATATTTATTATGCATCTCTATTATGTAATGCACTACTCACTCGAACACTTCCAACGGTACGTTGATATCATGAAGCTGTTGTCGGCATTTCTCAACGTCCTGCAGTCCTGTGATCATAAAGTTCCTGGGGAAATAAATAACCACATTTATTTAGGCTTTACTCGTGATTGAACGAGGCAACACTACTGATAACAAGCCAAGAAAGGCTAAAGCTCAAAATCGCCATTATTTCCTAGATATTATTTGTTTAAATCAACATAACGTTTTAGTTTCGTATTAAAATTAACAGAATTACAACTCACAGTTTCTGACTGAGTCCGGTTTGACTGCTGGGCTGGAAATCGCTGACAATAATCCCAAGCTGTCGTATGTTTTCGACGAATTTCTCGAGGTGTTCTTCGAGATTATCAAACTTTTCGGCCATGACGTGCTGTATTTTACATAAAGGTAAAGCGTGCGATTGATTTAATTGGGATAAAACTATAAAATTGTCAACAAAAGACGGACATCTGTTCACGCAACGCAGCTTCCATGTCAGCGAACAGCTTTCCGACAGCGTTTCGTCGAATAGCGTGCGAGAATTGACTGTTACCCTGGTAACGGAATCCTTCGTTGTGCTGTAAAGCGTTTCGAATTGCTGCAAAGTCGCTGTTGTTGGAAAACAACATATGGGTGACACAATGCATTGGTTGATGGTTCGTTCAAACACAAACGATTTTATACATACTCGTGTGAACTGCTGGTGCACTGACCTTTTCAATACGAGGTTTAAGAGAAGTGGGTGTATTGATTCATTGCCAGCTGATGCATGAGAACTCGATACCCTTCCCCACCAACAGGGCAAAGACGCATTATTTATTTATTATTTTTTAGTAATGCCGATGGCATCTTACATATTATATTACAGCGAATGTAGAAAAGCCAGAGAGAGAAACAAATACATGAAGTTATACAACGATACTAAATACTGTTTCTGGGATTTTTCCTGTAGCCGACAAAGATGTAAAGCAGGGATCGAAATGAACTAAAATATTACACACGAATTACATGTATGTGGGAAAAAATAAATAAATAAAAAGAATAACAACAAATAAATGGACAATATGCCAACTTTGCAAAACATGGTAAAGGTGTGCTAACAGTAAACGCGTTAATATAGACGTCGAGCAAAGCGTTATTTATTTTATCCACCAGTATTAAGACAAGCCCCGCCTCCTACGGCAGGATTGGCTAGCGTGAGCTCCTCACAGCCACCGCCGCTCGGTGATTGGACACTTTAGAAGTCAATCACATAGCTGTGGCAACTCCAGCAAACAGCGATCAGGTCGAGGGCGGGACTTGTCGGAATACTGGTGTGAAGAAAAAATAACTCGTGCTGGACCCTTGATTACTCATTCCGTCCAGGTACAGCGGAAGCCAACCGACCTGAGGTGCTCCGCTGCCGCTATTCTTGTGTGCCTGCTCCAGATTATCGGTTCATTTCGAGCAGCGTTATCGTGCCTCCTTTGCAGCAGCCGCGGTTGTGCCTCATAGGGAATTACAGGAGTGGGAATACGTATTATATGAACGTTTTTGTGTTTCAGTGCACTCGCGCGGGGAAATGATGCATTGAGGACGCGTCTTGTCTTCTGAGCTCCATTACACCCAACTCGATCGGCGCGAAGCATCACAAATGGCTACTCTTTTGCGGAAAATCGGTCTAATTCGACTGCACGACCGAGACACGGAGGACCCGAAGCATCACCACCAGGGCTCACTGAAAGGGACTAAAGGCAACCAGAAGAGCAACAACACGAAGCACTGCAACACCAGCAACGAGACCAACAACATCCTCAGCACGCCAGAAATCAAACCCAGGCGCTTCGACGTGTCCGGCAAGGACAAGCCCGCCGTCAAACCGGACAAACCGAGCAAGGACACGAATGAGAAGCAGCAAACGGGAGGCGGCAAAGCGACGAGCGGCTCCGTGATGCCCCCGCCGGCGGCGAACCGGCAGCACTGCACCCAGGTGCGGACGCGGAGGCTGATGAAGGAGCTGCAGGAGATCCGGCGGCTCGGCGACAGCTTCATCACGGTGGAGCTGGCGAACGATAGCCTCTTTGACTGGAATGTCAAGCTGCACCAGGTGGACAAGGACTCCGCGCTGTGGCAGGACATGAAGGAGACCAACACCGAGTACATACTGCTGAATGTCACCTTCCCCGACAATTTCCCCTTCTCCCCGCCGTTCATGCGCGTCCTGACGCCGCGGCTGGAGAACGGATACGTGCTGGACGGCGGCGCGATCTGCATGGAGTTACTAACGCCCCGCGGCTGGTCGAGCGCGTACACCGTCGAGGCCGTGATGAGGCAGTTCGCTGCCAGTCTGGTGAAAGGACAGGTGAGGATGGCTTCTTGCCATAGCGGCGTTGATTTCTTCACATCTCATGTTGCTTGACGCCATCCTCCATTTTGGCAGGTGAATCGCGTAAAAACGCGCAACATCCATTCAACGCGGGTCCATATGATAGTGTCTGTTACATATATTGCGTGAGTGTAATTACATAGTAATACACACTCAGAAACATACTCATCTTCATGTCATCCCAGATATGTTTTTTTTTCTACACAAAACGAGATGTCTCCGTTCACTTTCATTGCATCTTTTTCCATACAACGAAAGTAAATGGTGGCTGAGGTTGCTTTTGCGTTCCATGGAAGAAAACGTCACAAGAGTTCGAACAAATTGATGTAGAATTGTCATTTTTTAATGACTTACATCTTCAGCAAAGAACACTTGTTATCTGGCCCTATATAGAAGGCTTCAGTTGGCTGTATTGTTCTTTGGAGATTATGAAAGTTCTTGATGCTCCAATATAGGTTCTTCTGATCAGTATTGGCTTTATCCATTAACAGAGCAAAGCTCTCTTGGGTTTATTGAAGCACTAGTACATATGTGGTTATCTAAAATATCATAGAAAGATTATCATAATGCACTGTAGCAACTTAAAAAGGGTCTCTTATGTCATCAGGCTGTAAAACCTGTTTTGGCAGGACCTTTATTCTTAAGAGTGTAGGGTAACCAAAATAAGGGTTTCATGACCACACGTTGCTTTAGTTGTGCTTTAGTTTTTTTTACTGTGTTTCCTACTACATTTCAAATGTTTCACATCAAAATGAGGGTTTTTGTATATAGTTTCTTCTATGTATAACCATATATTTTGATATCTGCAGATAAAGGCTGTTTTTGCATCACTAATAGTCCTGCTATTGTTACAATCATAATCTGGTGCTATTTCGAACCATTTTTCTTAAGAATGTACTGCAGCCTGGATCGTAGTAATGTGATTAGATGGGCTCCATATAGATAGATCACATCGGTCATTAGATAGTCCCGTTCGAAGGATGAATGCAAAGACCATCGTGGGTAATGGAAATGGATGAGAATCCATAATGAAGCTAGAGACTGGCCATTAACCCTGTGCAGTAAATCTGAGAGGAAAGACCTGTTCATCTACGCTTACCTCAACCTGTCAAGAGCTCTTAAATGCCAAATTCATGATGAACCTGAGGCAGCGTTGTGACTAGATAACCATTTTTCCCCAAATGACCCAAACCACTCAAGGGTAATTACCATTTTAGCTGCTGCTGACACAACACACCCCCCAATTAACATGCAGCTATTGTATTATAAAAGGAAATGACGGGCCATATTTTGGCTTTTGCTGCAGAACTTTCATGGTTGATCCCTTTTGCATTTAATACTTGAATTTTACAGCTTTACTGAATTGTGTTTAAAAGGCTCCATTCACGTCAACTTGAGGACATAGATGTGCTTTGACAGTGATTTAAATTTTACTGAAGGCTTTTTGTTGTTCAAATTCTGCTTTGGTTAGGGAAGATCTTTCTGCATACAAAAGCGCAGACATTTGCTGTTCTTTTAAGGTTCTCAACTCTTAATAACAAGCACAAAATAACAACAAAAAGAAAAATAGTCGATATCGTCTATATAAGCCATATGACTACGTTTCTCATTGCTTTAGACTAGAATATGCATTGACAAATAGGCTATGGATTAAAAATGAAACAAATTCCCAAATGTCTATTCCCACATCTAGAGTCTAGTGATCAAAAAAAATATTCCTGTTCTGCCTTGTTGGATTTACAGACAACTTCCTTTCAGACATAAAACGGTAAGCGGCATCAAACAGGCTTTATGTGATGCTATGATGCAAAGAGCAACACTGTTTATCCTTATCTGGCACATGTCGGTTACATAATCCCTACCGTCTGTGTTGTCCCAGAATGCACAGAGGCCGAGCGCGACCATTGACTGATCTCCATTCACAGGATTACCCATCAGGCTCTTCACATGGGCACTGCCTTGCGCTCGATACGCACCAAACCAAAATAGCGCAGGGAGACGTCGCTGATGCCGTTAGCATTCTGCAGGGAAAACGCTGATGCGAATAACCTGGATTAACGTCGGAGCGGTTCCCTCCCTAGTGCTTTCCTCCGGTGCCTCTCAAGCGTGAGGGAAGCGATTTCCAAGAGAGACCGTAAACACAATAAAGCTTAATTAAGGCTCCTTTTAATCCAAAAATCACAGGCTTTTCTGAGGGGATAGGGCAGCCTCTTCTCGGTTGAACTCATGCGGTTACTTCTGCGCCGTTAGATCTCATCCTGACTGATAGAGCCTGAGGGAAGTGCTGGCTATTTCTGTCTCACTGTCCCTGCTGTCTTACATCAGCACTGGCACTAGACTGACCTCAGTCCTGGGGCAACTGAAAGCACATCCTTTTTGCTCATTTAGTGGATGCTGGGTCTGTGAGATTGTTTCTCTCGTATGTAGCCTGAAGTGGCATATTTGTATGGTTGTGCTTTGCACGCAGAACCTGATCATTTTGCTGGTCTTAAAGGTGAAGTTCAGGCCAAAACTCAAATTTGGCCATGCACTCTTAAAAAATAAAGATTCTGAAAGGGTTTTTTTGTGATTATGCCATAAAAGAACCATTTTTGGTTCCCCAAAGAACCTTTCAGTGAACATTTTAATAATCTAAAGAACATTTTCCACTATAAAGAACCTTTTGTGTATTGAAAAGGTTCCATGGGTGTTAAAGGTTCTTCATAGAACCATTGATGCCAATAAAGAACCTTTATTTTTAAGAATTTGGTCATCCGTGAATCACAAAATGAGATTTTAGAGCGCATCCATAGTTGGAGGGGACATTCTGCCCAACATCTTATTTTGTGTTTCACAGAAGAACGAAAAAGAGTTTGAAAAACATTAGGGTGAGTAAATGATTTTAGACTGAATTATTCCATTAAAGATGCACTTCTTGTGAAACATTTTGGGGTGTAAATGTGTCTCACTGTCATATTTAGGCTTGTTTAAAATGACTATCCCATTATGAAATCATTTGTTAGGTCATGCCTGGTTGTTGGCTGGCGTTTTGAGCATGCCAGATGAAAAAAAAAACATTTCTTCTGTCCTTAACACATCAGCAGAGCAGGCTTTAGGGGTTGATGAGTCAGAGAGATGCCTTCTTGAAATATGCTTTTTCTTTTCTATATAAGTTACTTGCGTGGGCCACTAGAATTTAATATTGCAAAATATATAAACACCAACTTGTAATTTAGTCTTTCCTGATCAGATTTCTTGATCAAAATCAACATTGAAACCAAAATGGACTCTGTTTACTTTCTTAATGCATGTTCCTGGTCTTATTGTGCACATTAAATGTAATACTTTGTCAAACCCTCTTAATTTGACCCACTTTTCATGTTCCAATCAATTCCCAATTGCTAGATTGTAAAAATATATAAGTCCCGTCATGTCTTTTTCATCTGATTTTTTTCAATAGTTAATATTTTCAAAAACTATGTAAAATGCGTTTCCATGTTGATTTTTGAAAGAATTTTTAAAAGCAGCAGGATTGCTATTAATTAAATAATAAAATCTGGAGTTACAAACATGCAGACATCTTTGAGACATTAGCAAAGGGGATTCCATTTTTTGCATGTGCAGCATTGAAAATCTCATTTTTTTTCATACTTTGAAATAGTTACTGCAGTTGGCGAACTTCATATATCAACTTTTATTTCCAGACTCAAGGTCCATTAACAAGAAACACACAATACAAACCAAAACAAATACTATCATACTATCTGGACGTTTTCACTGTGGGATGCTGCAATCCTGGATGCACTTTTGCATCATTTCTATTCCCATTATCCTTTAGCAGTGATCAAAATGGCTGAACCTGGTGTTAAAATGCTCTCGTAGCTTGTTTAAATAGTTCAGCCTCAGGTTTTATCAAGCACAGCCTCTTGATTTACTGTGTCTTCAAAGCTCAGAGCAGTCGGCTTTGAAATTGAAAATTGGAAAACCTCTGAAAATGGAGCACCAGGACCATTTAATCACACCACAAGCCGTCATTCACAACATCTGCATCTGCAGGTCGATTTTTGACATGCTTGACTCATCTGATTCAAGCTTCTTTGATTCTTTATAGCAAACCTCAGTTGGCTTTTTATTAATCACCTAAAAACATAATCATATAATGGCTTACTTATAGTTGTTTGCACATCAAACTGACATAGAAAGCAGTTTAATATAATGAAATTATATTTCACCCTTAAATAACTAGGCCTAAATTGTATTTGGAAATTAAATGTTGCATCCAGCAGGACATGTCACAGTATATTAAGATCATGTATAATTTCCCTCTTGGACAAACAATCCACACACTGCCCTTTGTTTAAGTCAAGTATATTCTAAAGAATGAAGCTTTTCTGCTTCCCATCTTTTGAAATATAATAGATATGGTAAAGATTGCAACAGACATTTTTGTGTTTCTCTGTAGATTTTTGTGTCTCATAAACCTGTATATATAATGTCTAGACGTTTTGCAGCTTATTCTGGACAAGAACGTCTACTTAGACAGAAAGAGACTGTCTGACTGATATGTTAAACAATAAAACTGTTTACGGGATATGAAATGCCAAATCATAATATACAGGTGTGCTCACAGATCTTAATATCTTGTTACCAAATGCCTCAAAAATATTTCAGTGATTTTACAATAATATTTAATAATATTCACCAATTTTAATGTTTATAATATTACATAACTGAATCCATTATTATTATATATTATATTAATTATTTATTTTCACCATAATATATTTATGTATTCAGTAATATGCACTAATTAATTATTAAAATTAATGTTTTGTTTTTTTTACCATTTACCAGTTAACATTCATCTCTCCATCCCATTTCCACTATTCATTTTAAAGGTCATTCAATTCATTATAGAATCTCTCACTAGTTTTTTTGACACATGAAAATCTTTATTGTTCTAAACGTTGTTTTCTCTGTAGGGTCGTATCTGCAGGAAAGCAGGCAAGTCTAAGAAGGCCTTTAGTCGTAAGGAAGCCGAAGCGACCTTCAAGAGCCTTGTCAAGACCCACGAGAAGTACGGCTGGGTGTCCCCTCCCGTATCCGACGGCTGATGTCAGCATCTTCAACCGCGATCCCGACATGGCTTTTTTCAGTTGGGTTTTCTTCTTTCCCATCATCAAACTTAACCACGAAAAAAAGCAAGCTAGCGCATCATATCTTACATATAAACGTGGCACATTCACCTTCACTCCGTCCTTCACTCTTCTTCATTGAGGTGCCATGGACCGAACACTTGCTGCGACATCACAATTACTCATGAGTGCGTATCTGCAGGAAAGCAGGCAAGTCTAAGAAGGCCTTTAGTCGTAAGGAAGCCGAAGCGACCTTCAAGAGCCTTGTCAAGACCCACGAGAAGTACGGCTGGGTGTCCCCTCCCGTATCCGACGGCTGATGTCAGCATCTTCAACCGCGATCCCGACATGGCTTTTTTCAGTTGGGTTTTCTTCTTTCCCATCATCAAACTTAACCACGAAAAAAAGCAAGCTAGCGCATCATATCTTACATATAAACGAGGCACATTCACCTTCACTCCGTCCTTCACTCTTCTTCATTGAGGTGCCATGGACCGAAAACACTTGCTGCGACATCACAATTACTCATGAGTGGGAGTCACTGCAGCTACATACAGCTATGGACTCTGGATACGATTGAGGCTCAAAGCAAAGTTAAATGTGCACGATCTCCACTCTATATCCTTGTCTATCTGTCTGTGTTGCCTCTTTTTCTTTCCTCCATCCATCCCTCTTTCCTTTTATAGCTGACAAAGCATTGCACTGAACAGCATCAGACTTGCCCCAATTTACATGCAAATGACTTTGTTAAAACTTAATAGATAAGCAGATCATTACACTACATTTGAGTTTCTCTGGTTTCCTCCTCATTGGCTGTGCTGTTTTTCATGGTTGGATGCAACATGATTGTAATTTATGTAGAGCTGTGCTCTTTCTATTTCTCCGTAAGCGTGGCAAAATGTAGACATCACTGTGTTGCGTAGATGGTCATTGATTTCCAATGGAGAAAAAAAAAACTCTAGGGCTTTGTTCAGACAGGCAGCAAATATCAGATTTTTTTTTTACCACATCCGACTCCAATTCAATTTGTTTTTGAAGTCTGAACACATTCATATGTGGTTTGAAATCCAAAATTTTAAGATCTGAATCAATCGTTTTAGCTAATATCTCCTCAACTGTTTGATTCTCGCTGTGTCGGATTGTGAACGAGTGGCATGAGTCAGCAGTTTTGGACACTGTATATGCATAAATGCGAAAAATGCCATGATAGACAGTGAGCAGAGGCAAAATTCCCAGTTTTCCGTCCTGTCTTTCCACACTGACAGCTGCACTCGGTTGTTATATTAGAAAGTCTGGCATCGTGCTGACGCTTACATCACTACTGTGGCAAGTAGATGCATCGGATATCGACTACACAGTCGGAACAAACACACCACTTACAAAACGACAGACTGTCAGTCCTAAAGATCGGATTTGAACAATTGGATTGATATGCGGTGTGAACAAAGCCTTCATTGCTTATGCAGAGGTCTAAGATTTAAAAAATGTGAACCACCTCTCTCAATCACCCTTGGTCATTATATTATTTGTTTTTGGAGAAGACCAAAAGCTCTTAATTCGGATGATTTAGATACCAGATGGCATTAACGAATGTCAATGTCCCAATGGGATCTTAGTATTGGCAAGAGAGAGGCATGTGACAGACATGGTGATATTTGCAAACGAGATGTAGAGCGTTTGTCCCTGTGGAGCACTGAGCGACAGGACAACGCCGATCACGCAGACCTGAACCCTTGTTAGCGCCAACGTAAAGAACTTCACACCTTCACATGCCGATGCCCCAAACATTAATTGTGCTGATTCGCTGTGTTGGCTCATAAATCGATACGCTCGTGGTTGTGGGCCTGATTCCTGACTCTGCATCACTGTGCTGATCAATACTAGACTAGAACAACAGGACAAAATGGCCGACGGCCCAGGAAATAAGATCTCAAGACCGCAAACGTCGCTCTCGAATCGCGTAAATCAAAGCTTAAGCTCCGTTACGGCTTCAAACCTGGACTCTGGTAGCTGGTGCCACCACTGTTGACGAGAGCCAGATGAAGAAGGACAGAGGTGGGAAGAGAGAGAGACGCTGAGGGGGCGACTCCTTTGTTCTGAAACCTTGAGGAACGAGGGCGTCTCGTTTAGTTGCCTGATTGATGCTCCGAGAGAGCCGCAGCTCGACGCCTTGAGGTTTATTGACTTCTCCTTCAAATGTCAGCGTGAATCCGGAACGCCTCGGACTGCATCTTGTGAGCGGTGAGATGTAGAAGAGCTCTGTTTATTTTAGACCCCACCCAACCCATGGACCTATGAAATACAAATTACATGATAGCCCAAAAAGGCGAAATCATGGCTTTTGTTGACACATTGGGCGTTTTAAAGGAATAATTCATGCGAAAATTTAAATTCTGTCATTTTCTTACCTGTATGGTGTTGTATCTTTGGTGGAACGCAAATGGAAAAATGCTGATTGGAAAAAGTGTGTATTAGATGCTCTTTTCCATAGTATTGTTGATATTAAAAATAGACATACAACAAGGAAAGACCAAAAATTAAGAAAATAAGTAAAAAGTCTTGCTCTTCGCTGTCTGCTTTGATCCAAATATGGTGCATTTAAACTCCACGAGTCATATTTGATGTCAGTGGTGTCAATAAAGTCATTGACATGATCAGTCCTTGTTGATTTTGAAGTATGAATATGTGGAAATGCAAATGAGAGCAATGGTGAAGGGGAAGATAATACAAGATCCCATCTTTTTATGGAATTTTGGATTTTGTTGGCCAATCATTGTTATCATTAGACCAACATTATGATACATTTATGGTGCATTTGTTGCCATTTTGAAGCTTGACAGACAGAATCAGTTCCCATCAACTTTAATTAAATGGAAAAGAGCAGCGATTACATTCTTCAGATTATCTTCTTTTTTGTTTTATAAAAGGAAGTCAGTCATACATGTTTGGGTGCATAAACTATGACCGAGTTTTAATTTTTGGGTGAATTATTCCCTTGAAATGATGCTTCAAGGTTGGAAAACTCAGATTTCCTTGTTGTGAGATGCGTTTCATATGATATTTTGAGGATATTCTTCTCCAGACATGGAAACAGCATGTGCCAAAAGCTTCATGTACATTGTCACCATTTCCTTGTGTGTTTTCTTGTGTGTAACTGCTGCGCTCTCAGTAGAAAGACTCTTTGCTGTCTCTGACAATTTCAAATGTCACACAAAACGCTGCTAATTAATATGGCATTTGAACAAACAAACAAAAAAATGATGAAGACATTGCTGTATAAATGATAAAACCAGAAATGTTGATGCCCTAAAGGCAGATGGAGGGGAAACAACACTGTTGATCCGTTATTGATATTTATTATTTCTGTCTAGTAGCTTTTTGTGTTATTGATATTAAGGTTATCCAGTACAATGAATGGTGAGTGTGCAGTGCTTCAAAAGGCAATCCAGTGGCAAGCACTACATTTTACTGTATACAGTGATAATTTATTCCTGGTCATTGAAATGAAATACACATTGTTCACCGGAGAACCTGTAATTGCAGCGATTGTAAAAACATGCGTAAACCCTCGTGGGTGGCTTATTGCAGATTTCTGTGTCTGGTCGCAGATGGTATCTCTTATCACTACTGAAGTGCATTTGGTCTTCTCCGGACTCTGTTCGGACATTATTGAAAAGTGGTCGTGTGTTTTCCTATTTAGCGAGAGGAGATACTATACCAAGGACTTATAATTATAACCAGTCCAAAATATCACGAAATTGGATGTTTTCTGGTTTAAAGCATAATTTTGTGATATAGTTTAGATCAGTAGTTTGCAGAAACTAACTAACAGAGTTAATCGTCCAAACGAGTGAGATGATTCTGTTGTATTATATCTGCATGTGGTCTGTGATTGTTAGCTAGCTAACTTGTTTTATTTTTCTTTGTTTTAAAAAAAAAAAAGAGCAAGAAAGTAACGAAAAAGAGCAGAAGCCGCTTCTTTGTATTTTTTTGTTTGTTCAGTTTGTCCTAATTTTCTTTATTAATGTCCTTAAATGTCAAATTGTGTTCTATGAATGTGTTTTAATTTATTTGTAGTTTGCCAAAATGAAGATTTTGAAGCATGTTGCAGGCATTGTCACTGATGATAAAAAGAGAAAGAAAAATAAATGAAAAAATATAATATATGTACCTGAATTGAAAGGAGTCTGGTATATGTAGTGATCTCAGGCTTTCACGGGGTGAAAGGTAAAACTACAAGACAATGTGTTTTCTGCACTGCATAAACATCATGCCAGGATGTGGTCAGAGCAAAACCAAACAGGAATGTGCAATAAAGGCTGTAGGCTGATTCCACCCTGGAACATCTTTGTGTTTGTCTTCCTTGCTCTCTAGGCTCTCTGCAGTCACTGAGGTTTGGAACATGCGGTTTTGTTCCGCCCTGTGGGTTCGAGGATATCAAATCACCCGTGACGGTGAATGATAACACCAGCTTCTCACCAGAACCCCATCAATGCAGTGTGCACTGGTCAACATTTCCCCTCATTAAGGCCATTATGCACATTTCCATAATTTATCTCACTTGTTGTCACAGTAATTATGATACAGTATAACAACTGTGTTCATTTATATGTTTCAATTAAAAGTCCCTAACATAACAACTCATTGCTTTGCAGCAAAAATAATGAGCTGCAATGGGTCCTGCACAGTAATATGTGCAACTGTTACTACCGTATTTCCACTGTTTTAGCATGTCTAAATCACTGTATTGACCAATCAGAAACCAGGACAGGATGCTATATGTTTTATAAAGGTACTTACAGTATTATACACTGTTGTATGTATAACTAACATTATTGTCATTGTTATCGTTTATAAAATATCTTTTAAATATATAACATTTGAGTATGAATGACATGACATTTGAATGAGAACATATGAATGAGAATGACATTTTTTGCTTTACATTTAGTCATTTAGCAGATGTTTTTATCCAAAGCGACTTACAAATGAGGACAATGGAAGCAATCAAAATCAACAAAAGAGCAATAATATGCAAGTGCTGGAAGCTGAAAACATCCCAGTTCTTGCATGGCCAGCATACTCACCGGACCTGTCACCCATTGAGCATGTTTGGGATGCTCTGGATCGGCGTATACGACAGCGTGTTCCGGTTCCTGCCAATATCCAGC